AAACTTTGGAAACTTGAATTAAGATTCATGAAGGATTACTTTTGGAGTACCAAAAATCTATGTTAAGATTACCAAGCTTTAAAAAGCCAAGTTAAGATCTAAGGAAAGTAACTAGAGTATCACCAACTTTGAAAATTTGAATCATTAGACTTCCTACATACTATACTAACTATAAAACTAATATTAAATTTATTATAAAAAAAAAAAAAAGATTCAAAGTATAAATGAAAATCCAAAAATTAAAATTTCGAAAAACCACTAACATGAATTCGAATGTACTTCGAAGATACGAGACGATATTCTGAAAAGATCACGATATGGAGAGGTCGAATACCCATCGCTAGTAATGAGAGGATAAGGTCGATGGTTTCACAACGGTTGAATACTTGAATATTGATTAAGCATGCACATCGCGATTACTGGAAGCAGTAAAAGCGCTGGGCTGCGTGTCTGCAGATATTTATAAGAAATGTTGCTTTATCCCTGTCTCTTTTTTCGTTCTACAACCAGGAAGAATGTCAAGCCGAAGATGTACAATCAGATCGGACCATGTTTCGTCTACAATCAAACTTTCGAGGATTTAACCTTAGGCTTATTGTTCTGTCGTGATCTGGCCTACTTTCTGGCCTCTCTCAAACGATGAATTTAATATCCTTTGTTGCGTTTCTAGACCTCGCATAGATGACGTACACTCTATTAGCCGAGAGTAATTCTGATCGAGAAACTTGACAAGATTCAGCCTTTCCCGACTTACCCACTTGTAAATGGCAATTGATACTAGAGGTTTATACTTTGATTTAATCTGAAATTTGTTAGAATAATATAAATAGAGAATTAGTTTGAGAACAACAGTTGTAAATTGTTGCTTCTTCTAATTTTTTTTTTTTTCTATTTCTCTTATCTATTTCTTTTCTATTTCTCTTATCTTTATTCCCCTTAATTTTTCCCCTTTTTTTTCTCACTTATCAAATGAATATTATTTAGATGAAAATTTAATTACACAAATAAATAGATAATAGAATGATCCATTTTATATATATACGAAAATATTTTCATAACTTCGTGATAAAAAATAGCCTATCGTAAAAATGATCGACAACTTTATGATTCAATCTAGAATCACTAATTTTTATAACAGACTTGGTGACACGCCATGCTTACAAAAAATTCGCGTTCCAGCATCACGTGACCGACTTCCGTGACCGTTGACATAATCATCCGCCTCTCAACGGCGAAAAAAACGCGGTAAAACAGAGCGGAAGGGGAAAAGCCCTCGAGTTTTGAATATTCAGTAGGTATATTCTGGTAGACTTCCACCTGACCTTTTTTTCGTGGGAAAAATCGACGTTCTGGCTTGTCTTTCGCGTTGTTTCATGTCTCCGATTTTTTGACGACCAGCAATATTACTCATAATTATTACTGATCAAATAAAAACAAAGATATCCAAGATAAATCTGATACGTGGTTAGAAATCTCGATTTAATGCATCGATAAAACAGTTTTACAGTCCACGGACGAAACGAGTTAAATAATTTATCGACAGAGCAGATCAGTCGATAATTAAGTCTTCGAAGGTAAGATATACGGTCGGTAAAAACGAAAAGTAGATATCTATATTTTTCCTCAATGATAAGTAACGTGTTTTAACAATGCAATTTAACAATCGATTTTGTTTTTTTTTTTAAATTTGAAATAACAATCGACTGTTGTAAGTTGGGAATGTTTGTCACGACTTTTACATACGAAAAATAAAGTTTTTAATAATAGAAAAAAATAACTTACCAGGATAGCTGCAGTCATGTTCGTCACTCCCATCATCACATTCTTTTATGAAATTACATCGATGCGATGCGAGTATACACCTAGATACGTCGCAGGCGAATTCTCCAGGATTGCATCCTATAAAATCAATCAATTCGTAACTTTCTAATCATCAAAATTATTAACTTTTTTTGAAAATAAAAAATATGAAGAAAAAAAAAAAGATTTAACGTATAATAAAAGTTCAATTTTATATACAATTCTATGTACAAAAATGTAATTGTGAGCAAGCATTATGTAACTGTGAGCATTAGACAACCTATACCTGGATGGGGACAACCAACTTCATCATCGCCATCATCGCAGTCCTTGACGCCGTCACATTTCTGTACAGAGCATATGTAACGACTTTCATCGCTGCAACGAACAGTGTCATCGGCGCGACATTTGCTTAATTTTACTCCTTCAATATCTTCCTCCTTTTTAATTTCCTTAGTTACTTCTTCATAAAATTCTGTGATATTCTCGCTGACATCTATTGTTTCGATGATTAGGACAGTCGGAAGTAGCGTAATATCGAAGCGAAGATTAGCAGGATGAATATAAATTATAAACATAAAGAGAGAAAATAAATATATATGAAAAGAATATCATGACAATAATAGAGTTTATGTAATTGTAAAATTAAAATTGCAAAATTAAAATTGTAAAATTAAAATACGTAATCATTCTATCCTTTTGATAAAAGATTGATAAAAAAAAAAGAAGAAAAACATGCAATAAAATTAATTACAAATGAATATATAATAATACAAGTGATCAATATGATGTAATATTGTACACTATTAGAAATATACAATTGTATACATATTTACAGATGTCAGATGATTTGATTTTGAATTTTGATCTACTATTACTTACGTGTCGTTGTTTCAGGACAACCTTCTTCGTCAGAACCATCCTTACAGTTAGGAATCCCATTGCATCGCCATTCGAGCAGCACGCATGTACCATCTTTACACCTTATCTCGGTCGATTGGTCACATTCCGGTTCCTCTATCTCTTCTCCAACTAATTGTGTGTGTATCGTACGTGTATGGGTGTATATATGGAATCACCGAATGGATAAAATAATGCAACAAAAAAATATCAAAAAAGAAAAGATAAACGAAAATTCGAACATAATGGAGAAAAATAAAATCTGATCGTAAACACTATCAAAGCGAGAAGTAGTACTTTACATGCAGATCAAGAGTATGAAAAAAGGGCTGATCGATTCTTCCAAATTCATGTACTTCCAAATAATCATCCATCTTATTTTAAGAAGATTCTTCCGTTCCAGATAATCGATTTACAGATGATATAAGAGAATTCGAAGTCTTCGAGGAGGAATCGATCATTTCCACGTCACTCGAATAATTTCAACTTGCCTTGGAATACTCTAAACGAGAATTCTTCTGGTCGAACTTGGACGTTGCCCAACGAATGCAAGTGCAGCTGTTGCTCTATGACGTTTCGTACTTCCATCTCATCCGTGAACGTCGAACCGATGTCTAGGGTAACTTGTGACGTAAAGCTGTCGGATGTTGGCCTGAACAATAAAAAGAAATCGTTATCGTTCCATAAATACCTGCTATGTTGAATCATTTCGATTCAGCATATCAATATATATTCTCCGTTTTCAAAAAAGACTGGTACTTTTTTTCGGAATATTATCTTCTAAATGTATAATTATATTGTACTCACGAAATTTTAATAACGTTGGCATGATGATTTTCATTAGGAATATAACGATTCAACAACTCTTCCAAAGGTTGAGTTAGGTTGCCACTTAGCTCCTTGTACTCTCTGCTATTCCTATCCACATACTCTCTTCTGAACGGTTCTCCAACTATCAAAGTTATTCTATAATACTCTGCAAAATCATAGCCAGAAGTTAGCAAAAATTCGAATTAGAGAAATGACAATGAAATACTAGTTGTTTACTTCTCTCTTCTCTGATTGGTACAAAACTGTGCAACCGCGTATCATCAGCACTGCCTTCCATTTCTCCAGATCCAGCAAGATCTTCGTCGTCGGTGTTTCCAAAATTTGCTGATTCTCTTCGACCTTCAGCTGCATTTCCAACTTCATTGTCCTAATAACATCAATGATATTTGTTAAATATTAGTATTTATTTGTTGTTGGAATTGAAAATTTAGATTAGGTTAAATTAGATTAATGAAAACTGACCTCATCAGCTTCGACTTCGAATTCATCTGCAGTATCGTGGGCTGATTTTTCCAAATATTCGTCATCATTGGATTGAACGAGAGGATCGTTATCCAATTCATTGTCCGCGTTGTTTTTTCCAGGTTCTGTTAAAATACAGCGATTTCAACGATAATACTAAAATTTATTGTTAAGGGATAACACAAATTATTTACTTTCAGTAGAAGTAGATGTAGTTGGACTGAAAAAATCTAAAAATCCTCTTCTTAACCTGTGAAGTATGGAGTCTTGTTGGCGTGTCTCGATCAAAGGTATCTCGTCTAAAGATTGCTTGCCATCTTGATCAAATACTAGGTCGTCATTCTGCGAAAAAAGGAACTTACATATAATATCATTCTTCTTAACTTTAGCAAGCATCCATAGAGATGGGCTCCAATAATTTTTTAATTAATGTGACAAACATCATTCTTTAATCTTTAGAGGTAATTATAAATTATTAGATTTGTTTGAAAAACAAAGTACATTAGTAATATAAGAATGTCCTGACGAAAATAGATAGAAAATTAAAAAATTGATAAACAAAAATTAATTAAAATTTATTTAAAAAAGAAACAAAACTATATTTCCGTCAAAATTAAACTATATATAATTTAATGAACAAATCTCAATCGAACACTTTTTAGCATCATTTTTAGAATCATCTTTTCTCTGAACATCCAATATATATGAATTACACATCATGAATATCTTTATAAATATTTATAAGATATCTTACGCAAAATGTCTCATGTCAAAGTACCTTTCCAGTTCTTTAAATATTAAAAGATTGAAAAGAAAACGACATTATGAATAAACAACGATATTTTAAAGAAAACAGACGTTACAAACGAGAACATTTGGTGTAGTCAACGTACAAGTCAAATCTATCGAGTATATCTCGAATATCGACTATATCTCGAATATCGACTATATCTCGAATATCGATGTATCGCGTAGTGTGCTCACGTGCGACTCATAAAGAACCAATTCTCACCTAAACACGCGATATAAATTCAGGATCGGCCGCCCATTCGACCGGCCGTGATTCGGTCAGGATTCGACATCGTGGGTCAACGACGTCTCTTCTCCTCAAGGAACAACACGATACACGTATACACATATAGAGCGAGAAAAAAGAAAGAGAGAGCATTGGTTGGTCGAGATAAAGTATCGTTACGCGAGAAAACGACTGACGAGCTTATGCAACTCGGCACCCGTGTCGATATTACGACTACGAGGCGAATAACAAACCCAATGTTTCCCACGAATCTATACGTGACGAATCAAATGTTAATCTTCCAATGTACGTAAGATTTCTTTTCTTTGATACTTTTGCATTTGAAAAGGTTTCATGTTTTGAACTATATTGAATGTATCAGAATTTCTTTCTTTGGATACTTTATTTAAAAAAACTAGATTTTTTTGAATATTTTTTGTTCGATCTTCCATTTTTCTAAAATGATTTTTTATTTTTATTGAAACAAATTTGTAAATATTTCATTTAATGGTTTTTTTTTTAAAGTATCCTTTATTTTTTATATCTTTTTATATTTCAGTTTTATGGGATATTTGATTGTTGAATTTATAATTTAAAAAATATTGGAAAATGTAAGAATAAATTTGAAATATCATTTAATTACAAATTTCAAGAATCCATTATGGTATATTAATGACAAATAAGAATCCTATCTACTAGATTCACCAGAATTATTATAGAGAATCATACAATCCCTTGCTGTTTCCATGTTTAGAACATGATGACTTGGAATTTATATTTAGGATAAAAACGAGCACTTGCGAGAAAATAAAAATTAGAGAAACATCTGGAGACAATTATCAAGACAACTCATGTTAGGAATCGAAAAATTGATTGAAAATAAAATAATTTCATATCTACCTTTAAAGTTTTTGAGAATTATTCTAATTTTATTAATCCAAATTCTAATTCCTTTATACATAAAAAAAATCTAAATCATATAAGATTATATTTAAACATTCGTAATTTTTCAGGTAATAATTTCCAAAAATTAAAATTCATTCCTTAAAAAATTTCTTCAATTCATTTCAAAAATAATACAGCTTTTTTTTTTAATTATCTCACATTTTATCGATCCCATTAACAAATACTCAACAAATACTCAATATAATTCGCGTACTAACCTCACTGCCATTCTCTTAACATCGTGGCGCGACAACACGTGGCATCCGTTTTGTGGCGCCCAATCAGTGTTGAAAAGCATGATCCAGCAAAAACCAGCCATCTGGCGGATCTTGCTAATCGCGATTAATATCTCGGGTGTCGCGTTTCCTTGCGAACGAGATGATGTTTGACCACGTGACCGGAAGCGCATACGCCACTTCCTGCTTATAAACGATATCAAACTGATTTCTAATCGATTTCCAATGCTTTCATTTAGTGCTAAAATGATGATACGAAATAATAAGGAAAAATAAGAAGGAATATTATTCATAAACGGCGAGACCGTTTATGATACATTTATTTTTTAACATACGAAAGGAAATGAAACTTTGAGGTTCATTTAAACAAAATTACCTAGGTTAAGGATTTCACTTCCGCGTGCAAAATGGTACACGCGTGGGTAGGAGGATCGACGTAACATTACGTAACTGAGAACAAAAAATTTCATAGAGGATAATGACACGAATGTCGACTCATTAATTCTCCAGTTAAAATTAGTTTCAAGCTTCAACGATTTGCAATTTTCTGGTGAAAGAATGGTTTATTTTTGTAAATGATTGATGAATAGCTGGTAATATGTAATGAAACGTGGATCGTTTCGATCGATTCCATAGAATTGATAAGACCGAATCGTAAAAGATATATTATTAGTATTATTAGAGATAGATAAGCTGCGAGATATATTATCTGCCTTTTGCCAATCCACATATCTGGAACACGTAAGACTTGTCTTAGAGAAAATGAACATTTTTTCGTTACGTATTAACTTTTCTTACAAGGCTGACAAAATTTATTTAATGGAATTTATGAGATTACTAGATCGTGGAAATTTAGATAAGAAGATATCGGGAAATGTTTGTTCATGATCAATGATAATGCAAAATCATATGTTTAACAATTAAGATTTACTGTTCCCTGTTATCTCGTTCTAATATCAATGGCAAAAAAATTTTACACAAAGAAAATTAAAAGACTTACTTGAGGTAACTGAAACAATTTTTTCATGCAGTTTCTTCAACATTCTGCTTGAATGAAGAAAAACTTTAAATAAACAATTATATTCTTTCGTTTAAATTTGTCGTGAAATTTTGTTTTGAGGTTATATCATTTGGCTCTCTTTCTTTTTTTTTTTTAAATATGAACAGATATAAATATTGGTTCATTTTATACATGTAATTTATAAGAATGAAAAAATAGAATGGTTGAATTTTATCAAAATTTGTGAAGATAACTCGTGATCATATTAAAGATTTTACTGTTAGAGATATTGATATTAAAGACAAATTTCGTCAGTTATGTTATTTGGCTTTTTTCTTTCTCTCTTTTTGAAATATCAATCGAAATAAATATTCGATTCACTATACAAATGTAAATAGTAAGAATGAAAAAGTGGAAAAAGATGAATGGAATTTTGTCAAGACTTGTGAAGATAACTCGTGGCCATATTAAAAACAATACTGATGTTAAAGAAACTTTGTCAGTTGAGGTTATATTGAGTCATTTGGCGCCCTCTTCTCTTCTCTCTTTTTGACCAATGAATATCAATATATGTAAATGATAAAAGTGGAAAAAAAATCTGGTTAAGCTTTGTCAAGATTTGTGAAAATAACTTGTTACCATATTAGAAATGATATTAAAAATTTATATGTGAAAAAAAAGAGTTATTTGGACAGAGTATTTAAAATTATTGTATAAATGAAGAGATCACCCAAGATTTTACGACGTACTTGAATTCCTACGATCCAATTCCAATTAAATAAATTTAATCATCTAATTAGGACTTTCTTTTGTTAAACTATTTAATCTAAAGAAGAAAGAAAGGAAAAGAGAAATATGTAAGTACCATCTATTTTCAAAAATTTAGTCAAAAAATCGAAGAAAATGAAGTTAGGTCGATTAAGACTCGTTTCCATGAGAGCAAAGAAGGTAGGAGACAAAACTTTGTTATTCCAGCCAAGTTTTACACGGGATTCCCGAGCTAAGTCCACTCTATGATCCTTTCACGACAACTACGTGCTCATACTTCGACAAAACACGGGCTCCTCACGCTGTCCGAAATCCTTAAAATGCATGGGAAATACGTGTCGGCGCAGTTTAAGTGGCCAACGGGAAATTCGTCCTCGAAACTTCCATTGTGGCGAATATCGAACCGCTTCGATCAACTTGTCAATATCCTTGATCAATTTTCTTGCATTTTTCTGTTATCTTCTAATCAGCTGATCAGTTGTGAACGTTTACGTATTTTATAATCTAATAATATTAAATTCTATTGTATTAAATAGCAATAGACAAACATTCTTAATAGTAATAACGATTATGAATATTATCTTATTTTTTTTTTTGAATATTTGTTTTATTGAATAAAATAAAAATTCAATTCTAATTTCGTATTAAAATATTCTCAATCATTTACATATTATTCAAATATATACAATATACAAAGATTAATTATAAATTAAACGAAATTATGAGACGAATTTCGAAAAACATCCAAATTTCAAGATTTCGAGAAAAAAGAAAAATATTGCAAAAACAGGTCGATCAACAAGATACATGAAAGACAGAAGAGGGAGATACAGATAAACGGGGTCGTTAAACCTGGTGCAAAAATGAGTCCAGACCGATGACTCACCGGAGAACTGGTCCCGAAAAAAATAAGTGAGCGCGTCTGCATATCGTTAAACCAATGCCGTGCAGTTTGCACGCACGTGTTGATTGCATAACGCGAGAACACTGTCTCTGATTCGATTCACCACTCGAAATTTCTGACTTTGAAATAGAAATAGTAATATAGATTTTTTGATTTTGATTACTTCTTTTCTAAATATATATATCGAAGATGAAAAATAATAGATATTGGAAAAATAATCAAACGATAATTTTAACATGAGTTTAATTGTGAGGTTAAACGATATTGGACAATATTTGGTAATTATAAATAATTCATTCTTTTAAGCAAGCCTTGTCAAGTCAAATGATATAATTTTGTTATTTCGAATATGGATTCAGAAGTTGAATCTTGAAGTTCTAGATCTTTTGGTTACTTTTGGACCATTGGATTTTAAATTAAATTTTATTGACTTTTAAAATATTTTTGATATTTCAGATTTTTTTTTACAAATTCTTCTAATCTTTAAATTCTTAGATATTTAAATTTCTGGATTCTTTGAATTAAAATTTAATGCCAAATTCAAACTTTGAAGCACTTTCATTTATACTTATTTATCCTTTCATCTATATCTATTCACTTGATACACTCGTTTACACTTCGTTTCAAGCTAAACATAAAAGGTACATACTACACATCATACAGAAAAATCCTCTTTGATCGTCAGGATCACTATGTTCCAATCGCTCTTTCTTCTTTTCTCTCAAAGGTCAAGATTCAACACGTATGGAGGAGTAAGAAATCCTCCAATTTAAGGGACTTTCAGGGGCTTCAACTTAACGAAAATATACGCGCTAGCGAGCTAGATGGCGCTGCAGTCAAGTACACCTTTCTCGAAGGGAGAAGGGCTACGAGGCCGATCGTCTTTTGTCTTAAGCCGCTCTATATTAATGTGAAGAACATGCCATGTCGAAGCAGGTTGCCGTGGGAGGATGGCCGTGGACGGTTAGGCGTGGAAAAGAGGGCTGTCAGCACGTAGAATACTAAACAGCAGCGAACCTGGGGCTGCATAGGTGGCGCTAGTCTCATTCGACCAAGCCTTTGCATTTTAACTGCCTTTCAAGCTCGAGAAAAGACCTCGTGCAGATCTTTGGCAGACAGTAACTTTGGATAGCTACTCTGTACATGTGTTTGTTGCGAAAGAAAGAGAATTATGATCTCTTGAAAGAAGATACATAGTGTCAGATGTTGAGGTTAGTAACATTCATAACATAATTAGCCTTTGAATAATATTTGAATTGAATTTCGATTTCTTAAATAAGTTATGAATTATGAAAGCTATGGAATGATACATCGTGATATTTAGAAATTTATATAAATTTGCATTTTTAAGAGTATTATCACGCACTTAGGTTAGATTCTCTAACAGTCATTATACATTATACAAATATTAATACTTTTGATCAACTTTAGAAGTTCTTCAATCTTTACAAATATGAAAATTTCCATTGAGTTGATAAAAATCTGTATTAGCAAGATAAAATGCAAGCTTTAATCAACTGTTACACTGTTATGTTTTTATTTTTAGAATCGAATTTTCAAGATTTTTTTCATAATAATAATTTAATTAATTTAAAATTTTTTTGTATAATAATCTAGTTAAATCTATTTTTGCGACATCTTCTTAATCTTTCTCTTCAAAAAAAATTCTATTATTCTATATATAATTCTATTATCGAGAATAAAAGAATCCTAACCTCAAATTTCTCGTTTACGATTGAATCAACTTGTGTCACGTGTTGATTCTCATGCCGTAAACCGAACAAGGGGACGCGATAAGATCGAAAAAAAGAAACTAGAGATCATCTTATACGAACTTTCATATCTCCTAAAATGTGAAAAAGACGAATGCTACGGGCAATCCTCTTGGAAGGGTGAAATTGCGGAAATCACACATTTCGACTTTCCGACAGAAACGTTCCAACCCTCGGGCTACGATCACTCACGCGTCGAAAACGTTCGAAAAACTGAACTATACTATCGTGAAAGAATTAAAGAGAATGAAGAAAAAAAAAGAAAAAAAAAAATAATAGATACACTGTCGATACAGAATTTCAAACGAGCTTACTTCCTTCATTGACTCTTTTCATTCAACGTGAAGATCAACGTGAAATTGGAGATAATCATTGAATTAATTTCACAAAATGCCGATAAAATGATATTCTCTTTAGGTTAGGTTTAACTGAAGTTTTTTCGATAGGAAGAAGTTGATATTATTTGATTATTTTAGATAATTATTATAGAAAATGTTTTAATATGTGTAGAAATTAATGATTTTTATTCTAATAAAAATATCATATAATATAATGATATCTTAAAAAAAATAATTACTTTTTATTAATTTAGGAGCAGAAGTATTACAAGATTTGATACATCAATGGATTTAATATTTATGATCTAAAAAAAAGTGTGCTATTGCGAAGTTAAAATTTTAATATTCCTTCATTGGTGTATATCTTTATTTATCTAAAAGAACTGAAGAAGAAAATATCAAAAAAGAAAAAATTATAATTTTAATGATAATTTCAATACAGGTATATTATTTAACTAACAATACACTTACATTTCATCAATCTAAAGATTCTTTGAAGAAGTCACAATATTATGATAGATTAAAACAAGATCTACAAGAATATAAGTATAATTACTTAGATTATCATTCAAGAGCACTTATCCTCATCAATAGTCTAAAGATTCTCTGAGTAAATTATCATCAAATAAAATTATCAAAAAAAAAAATTTGTTACAGAGATCTCTACTCAAAAAAATAATCATATTTTTAATGGCAAACACTAATATGGCTACTTAAACTATCACTCAAGAGCTCACTTATCCTCATCAACAACTTAAAATACTCTTTAAGAAAATTAAAAAGATCAAAAAAGAACTGGATTCAAAGATTGAACAAGATCTTTAAAAGTCTATCCAAAAAAATAATTACATCTTGAATGACAAAAAGTTACTAATAAAACTACTACTTAGGCTACTAAAGAGCTCATTTATCTTCATTAACAATTTTTTGAGGAGGTTACAATGCCCTGACACAAAGGCAAAACTCGATTCAAAGAGATCGAACAGGGTCTCTAAAGTGCTACACAGGTTTGTTTTTACAGCAAACAAGGGAGATAGTGTGCACGCCTTCTAAACATGCCGCTTAACCACAGCTTTATCCACCCTTCTCCTCGCCCCTGAATCTCAGGGCCAGGACTTCCTCCCTCTCCTATTTTCACCCAGTGTTCACCCCTCTGGATGTAACCTGAGACGGTTCGACAAATTACGAGGCTCACTTAACGGCTCGTGTTCCCTGTCATTGCATTCTGAATCCAGATTCCTTTGTCTTTTATAGTATTCTTGCAACCCTAAGTTCACTATTACGAAACTGTTACGTTCAACAAGATCGTTATTCATTGTCGATAATGTATTTCAACTGTTTGTATTCTCTATAGAATGAACAATGTAACATGATCACTTTCGTAATGTTTGAATCAAAATATCCTTTCCTTTTTTTTGTTAGGTAATATGATTTCGAAGGTCATTCAAATAATGATACTTTTTTTTTATGTATATTGAAAAAAAAAAAAAATATATAAAATGTATTAAATTATTAATGTGTTCTATAATATTTAAAAATTTTAAAAGTTATCACAGAAAAATTTTATGAAACGTTAATTAAAATGTAAAATAATCATTATTTTCAATCATTGATCAATATAAGATATCAATAAAGAAATCGATAATCAAAATATTATTCGAGAAATTTTAATTTCGGTACACATATCTTTCTTTTTTTATTTTCAATATCTTTAATTATAATTCTTCAACTATACTTCAATTATATCTTCAATTATAAAGTCATCTGACAGCGATAATCGTAAATCGACATGATGTTGAATAGAAAGTTTCATATGGCCTTCAAAAAATATGTTAATATCTTTTTTTTTTAGGAGACACAATAATTTTTAAATCTTAAATCGGAATTAATATCGGAGGAAGGCATTGAAGAACGACATCGGATGAAGCAATGATGAGTAAATACCAACGAATTCGGTTGGATAGCTCATTAATTTTCGATGAGAGTAGAGGAATCACATACGTGACATGCATGAACACATTTTTCACGCTTTTCTCCAAACACCAGGCGGTATTTTAATTCTCAATATTTTTTTGATACACGATTTTTATAACAATCAAATAAATTGTCACTTTTCTTCTTTTTATATTTAATTCATTATATAAGTCCATTTTTAAAAAGATCAAATAGATACAATGTATTATTTTTAAGAGTCTGTATATACACAAAGATCTGATAAGAATATGAATAGAATATTAAATGATAATATAATATATTAATATTCAGAGTCTATACCATGACGAATATAAAATATTTATTATTTGCAAATATAACTATGATGAATTTTTAATATTTTTTTCAATATCCGCTAGTATATTGAAATAAATAAAATAAAATCCATCATAAAATTTCTATATTGTTCTACAAACTTTTTTTATAAATTTTCCATAAATAAATTCAAATGAAACTAATTATATTCATCCACGGATCAAGAAACATTATTTTAGTTAGTTACTCATTCTAGTTAGTTCAATCGATTGATAATCAATCTTCCGTAATCTTCTCATCAAAATTATCAAGAATTCTTGTCACTTCAAATCAATTGATAGAATCTAAAAATAGCAGATAATTCCTAGAGAATTCAAATTAGGAATAGAGATATCATTTTTTCCTGTTTTCACAGGTCTTTGAGAAAGTGTTTTCTTTGAAAAATTGAAAGAGGCAAACCTTGTCCACTGAAGGCTTTAATAATAAATTTAAGAATCTCCAAGAGAGTTAAATCTTTCGGTTCAACCCTTTGAAAACATTGATGTGTTAAAAGTGATTACCTGTATCGGCCATCGAGAAGAAAAACATTACACGCCAAGAGATCATCCTGATACGATTTACATGAAACGTTATGGATGTTATCTATAAGTCGTGATTTTGAACGTCCATTAACCTTAGGTGTTTAGAAAAGGTAAAAATATTAAGAATAATAGATAAGAATAATTTAAAAATATTCAGAATAAAAATAGAATATATATATATAAACAGCAATTTGATTGCAGTTCATTTGTGCTTGAACAAATCATTAAATTGAATCATTAAATTGTCATCCATAGTGGAAATGAAATTGATCAATTAAAAAGTTTGAAATTTTCTGAATAATTATTTAATTGATTTTAAAAATTTTAAGTTCATTTCTAAAAAGTGGTTTATTAATTTTTCTATATTCATTATTTTTTTTTTTTATATATTAATAAAAATATAAAAATCAAAATCTTTTTCTCGTTACAATAAATACAATTAATAAAATATTATTGGAATATACTATTGGAACTATAATCTAAATTTTTCTTATTAAAGAAACTAGCGTTAATGAAACACTATCTAAATCATTCTTTATAGCTCAATTCACAATTTAATTTTTTTTTCAGCGATAAATGATGGGAGAGCGGTTATGGCCTGATTTGGCGGAAAGGGAGGTGTATTTGTTCGGCGAGAGTAAACAATCCGTCTAGAGACCCATTTCCGCTTGATCGAAAATAGTCGCACGGAGAAAGGGTTGCGATGGAAAAGCACAATAATCGATTTTTTAGGTTTACAAGAGAGCAACAAGAATAATGAAAGAATATTATAAAAATAAGACACAATTAGCAAAGATTCTAATTTAAGAGAGACAGGATATAATGAAATCATAGGAAAACCAAAAAACCGCAAACATCTAAAAGGAAAAGTAAAATAATGATGAGGATAATCCACATCCTGTTGATATCGAATTTTGCCTTTATTTCAATTCAGAGTATCCGTTGGCCAAATTAGGACAATCTTGGATATCAAATATTTGTGACTAAAAGCCGAAAATATTCCGTCCTAAATATTCACAATTTAGGAATCACGTTAACCCGAAAAAAATTAGTTTTCCCTTTTGAAACACATGGTTAATAAGCCGACCAACCGTCCATGAAGAATATTCTTGGTGAAGTTGAATTCCATTTGCCGGAAGTCTGTCGGTTCCGCCACTCTTTTCATATAAAATCAGGCTTTTATTCCATCGAAAGCTGGAGAAAATGAAGAAAAAAGAGAAACGAAGCTGAACTTTCGCTGAAATCCGATAGCAACGTCAAAGACAATGTTTTTCATTCTTGAAACACGCACAATTACATCAGAAATATAATTATAATCGATTGCGTAATCTGATCATCCTCGAGTCGAATGCCAGTGCACGCATGACTCAAATCGTTTATTTTTGAGCGTTTTGATAAGAAAAATGTACAATAATGTTTTGGAAATCTCGTTCCTCTTAGCAGAACTCAGAAATTTTCAGTTTTATGTGATTTTTTGTTAGAATGTAAGATTGATTTGTAATAATCAAAGTAATAATCAAAAAAATTTTTTTATATATAGGATTTTTATAATAGAAAGAAAATTCTTTCTGAATTTTTAAATGAAAAAAGATTTATCAATTATAGCAAAAGAAGTACCAAGTTTTATTCATTGATATTTCTGCATTCTGTTTATTGAATAATTCTGATTCTGGTCAAAGATCAAAATTTGATCGAAATATTTATTACATTTTGATTAGATTTGTTAAAACTATAAAAGATAATAAAACTGAAAAAATTCTCTCGTCAATTATATCGAATAAGATACATAAACGTCTCATTGAAAACAATAAAAGAATAAATATTTCTAGATTCATATTCAAAAAATTTCAAGATATACATATTCGAACTTATAATGATTTTTTTTTCTTCATTTTGTAATGAATTTACTGATTTTGACTAATCAAATGTGAAAATTCGATCTATAAATATAAATATTTATTACAGTTTAATTATGATTAGATTTTTTTTAAATCACTCTTTAAAAATAATGAAACTGAAATCAATTCTCATCAACCACATCAAATAAGAGAACACCTAATTAAAAACAATAAAAAAATTAATATCATTTATCCTATTTCTTACTTCGAATTTTATCCATTCTGCCTAGAGTAATTTATCTCGAGTCAAAATTCAAATATTACCACGACATTTAATCAACCTTTTAAAGAATAAATCGATTTTGAAATTGTATATCGTAAATTGTATATCAGCCTGAAAGAGGGTCTTCATCATACCCAATTCACACTTATACTCCATCCCTGGCTATGACGTAAACCATACTTCAGGTTCGTTCAGCCGCGGAAAATAATTTTCGGATCGTGTTTCCAAAACTATTTGAAGATTGAAAAAGCCTCTGCACTTCTATTTAATCCAAAATATATTAATGTTGATACAATGCGAAATATTTTTGGAAGATTCTACGGGCGAAAACAAAAGTTGGTGTACAAAAATATCGATCGAGCCTCGTTTATCAAGCTATATCGAGTAATCGAAGTTTGTGTTAGAGGAAGCGAGACGGAAATAGGGATAAGCAAATAATGACAGAGATGAAGTGATCTCGCTTCGATTAACATAAACTTCAATCGTAACTTAACAAATAAGACTCGATCGATATCTTTCTATATCGACTTTTCTTTTCCTCTCGATACTTAGAATCGATTGTTAATAAAATGGCAACGTGTATGTACTGACTTTCATTTTGTCGAGTGATTAAGAAGGAAATTCGCGAAATAGATCTTGAAAAGAGAAAATGTAAAGAATTGAGTTATCTCGGTCTCGGTTATAGATGATGGCCGATTTATCGAAGAAGAAACGATTGACATTCAATATATTCGGTATCTCAAACGAGCAACGTGTATTTCTGGATAATGACTCATACCCGTTTCTCCGCCACGTGCTTTCTCCGTCCCATCGAGTCACGAATAAAAAGGAAGCTGTTCTGCTCTTACTTGTCCCTGTTGTGTGTACACACAGTGTGCCAAAAGTGAAGTCACCGCTTTATTGGATAACCGATTACCATGTAAGTTTGAATCATCAAAATAAAAAGAGTTATTCTCATCATTTATTTCGCCTTTATCGATTCTGTATCTATTTCCGATCGCTGGAATTATCGATGTGTCATCTGGTTGCTCGAAATCAGAAGAAATTGCACTTTTTTTTCACGAAAGTAAGTTCACGAATTAGAGATGAAAATATAAATTAAGAATGCTGTTGGAAACTGAATTATGAAAGATCGATTGAGAATTTGTAGATTATTTTTCACTATTTTTAGTTATTGTATAGCAGTATTAGAATTTTATATTACAAATTTGACTTAAAGTTAATAATTTTCACAGGTTTTTGAAATCATCCTTCATTGTTTTTCGCAATTTTGTGCTTCAAGTTTGAAATATTTTGAAATAAAAACTCAGTTTAATAACTGATATACTCGATCATTTGGAAAAAATGGAATTCTTTTTTAATTTTTTAAAATTAACAAAAATAGAATCTGGTCTATATTTTATTCCTGTTCTTAATTAAAATGTCAAACGAAACTATGCTAATCGATCTTTACCTATTTTTCACAATATTACGTGCATCGTCATATATTTATGGTAAACATAAAAAATGGACACGAAATAGCTGAATAGAATCGAATAATTCTGGAGGCTAAAATGAATACAAAAATTGATACACAAAAATATAAATAGGCTATTAATCACGTTAATTAAATACGACAAAGATAGAGCTCTATCTCGTTTCATTTCATTTAATTCAAACTATTCAAACTAATTCAAACTATTTAATCAAAGACATATGTATACATTTAGTTTTTTTCTTTTTTAATTAAAATTATTCCAAATAATAATAAAAAGAAAAAAGCAATTTCTTCTGAAGAGATTATAATAAACAAGTCTCGACTAATTTTTTCGTGTTCGCCTCTACAATCAACTCTCCAAAGATCGAGTGTATATAAATATCCACGTATATGTACCATCAATATATCAAGTGTAACGATACTCGCACATTGTCGCATAAGAAAGATCTTCTAAATCGATCTTCTCGCGATCCAAAAATTATAGATCTGGCAAAAAAAAAAAAAAAAAAATAAACACAAGAGAAAAGGAGAGCAAAATTTGAACAAGAAGAAATCGAAATCGAAGAGACTCGTTATTGGGGGAGAGGCAGTGACTTGTCGTCGAGCCGGATGCCGAGGTATAGAGACGAGGATTTGTCGGTCGGATGTTAGACAATGGACTATTAGGGCAGTTTCGCGGTATAAGCTGCTGTGCAGCCTCTCGGTTGTGCGGGTGAGCCACGGCTGGACCTGGAGAAAAGAGGGTAGTCGAGAGTGCTTCGCGACACATTCTACCCCCTCCCATTCTTTTTTCTACTTATTTGCACCGTGGCTGCTTGGCTTTGTGAAAGTCCCACGAATCTCTCTCTCTCTCTCTCTCTCTCTCTCTCTCTCTCTCTCTCTCTCTCTCTCTCTGCTCCGAATTTGTTCTGTATACAAGTTTCAACGATGAGAAATCGATGTCCTGTGAGACTGATAAAGTATGTGTGTATTATAGGAAATTTGGGGTAGAGAATGGAGCAGAAAGTTGGAAATGGAGGATTGGTGTTTTGGAGAATGGAAATCTGAGAGAATGTTTTTATAGATTATGAAAGTAGAGATATATATATACGTGCTCATTTTCTCTTTGAGACATAATTCTATGTAATTCTTCTGGTTATTGGATAATTATATAGGCATGGAAGAATGAAAGAATGTTTTTTGGATTTTTTTAAGTTATGAATGAATGGAATTTTGAATGCATCTGTTTGATCAAGGTAATTTTATATAATTCTTGTTTAATTAGATTTGGAATTTGGGAAGATTGAATTGTTTTGAATTATGAAATTTTGAGAATATGATTTCTTCTCTATAGATTAAAATATTCTAATACTATCATCTAATATATATGAAATATGATGGATGTAGACTTTGATAATCCAAAGATTTTTGTTTTTTTTCTAATAATTAATTATATATGATAATTGATGGAATGAATTATTATAATTAATTATTGTGAAAAATGTAAAAAAATGTAGAAAGAAATATTTATACAAATATTTGTACATTCATAGAATTGAGTTCACTACTAAAATTATAAAGATAGATAGACATTAAATATGATTGTCATCTGTTATCTCAAATTATTAATATTGCATATAAATATCGAAATTATAATATAAATTCTCCAAACGTTGAATTTATAATTCGAGAAACTTATTTCCATTTGAAATTCATAAATTAAATAAACACGTATGATAAAGATCATAAACTTTTGTTCAAGAAATCATAAAAATTTCATATGTATATCGTATTCGTGACAGCTAATGTAACAAGATTTCAATATTTTCATATAATAAATCTTGTCACAGTAAATTTTTTTCGTTAATGTGATCAAAATTGATTAGAATTGACAATAAGATAAGATTTAATAAGTAAAACAATCGTATCAAATTGTTTAGGATCAGAATCTTGAAATACTTAAAAAAATTCGATAGATTTCACGCTTGATCATTCTCTTATGTTTAAATTTTTTAAATATTTTCAATTCGATTTTGCCAGAAAAATCCTTTGATCATTTGGAATAAAACAAATTCGAAAAATATTCAAAATTTTACACACGATAGTATTTCGAGTATATAATATTTATGTCCAGTCTATCTATTACCGATGACTAAAAGATTTCTTCATGCTTCTCGTTAACGACTAATCGCGTTATACGCTTGTCTGATCCCTCATGCGCTGAGATGTCTGCTTCAAAATTGTCTCTCCCTCTCTGGCATCTCGTCATCTAGTAATTAAGAGATGCAAACCATAAAAATTATTATAATTGAAGCGCGTCTCCACACAAATATATGACTTCAAACATCGAAATGACGCATACCGGGTGTCTCAAATAAATATACACACGAATAAAGGATAATAATAATATTCTGTATGCGAAAATGTATTTAAATAAAAATTTGACTACAAAAAATAGTCAAATATTCGTTCAAAGAATTTTTAAAAATAATTTTATCGAAAATACGATGCTTTAATCGTGTCCGATTAAAACAAATAAAAAGTCGTGGACTAAAAATAATACTACCAATTCCTTAAAAAACACTTTGTAACTTTCTCATAGATAACCATTTACAGATTGAGAACTACTGCTTTAATGAAAAAAAAACATTTTTACTTTTCAACCCACTTGAACCGCCGAGACACCCTATATACCATGTATTCCTGCATACAAAGATCGCGCAGGGTCGTCACGCAAAAGACAAAGGGGCGCACGCATAAAAGCGATTTACGATCGCGTGGAAAAAATTATCCGCGACTTTTTTCGGCCAGTCGATCGACTGTAAACTCATGGATCCTAGGATATCTGTGTTAACGAGAAACAAGAATTCTCTATTCACTTGTGGAAACATCATGACAAACCAACAATTAACGTTAATTAACGGGTGTCTAGAAGAAGGGCATATGGTACAAGTTTATCGAGTTTCTTCCATGGAAAAAGGGACACTGCGATGTGCGAATACATTTTGATAAAGTTTCCACAATGTTACGACAATAGTAAAAATCAGAAGCAAAATAAAATTTTAACTTGACATTAAAAATAAAGTTATTTCGGTAATTTATCACTCAAAGTATTGAATAATAATTATAGTGCCAAGATTGTACGAAAAACAAATCAATTAGAATAGCTATAAATAAGTGTTGTTTAAATTGTTTTTAATAAAATATTTTTTCAACAGGTTAGTGGCCAACTTTGCTCAGGAATTATTCAGAAAAATAAAATGAACGATTAAAATGGAAATGGAAAAAGATGGTATGTATTTCAACTTTTATCATATCTCACTTGTTCATTAAAAAAAAAAATTTTATCTTGTGTATTTTGTGAGAAATTGACTAATGTTTAAAAACAAATTTTGAATTTTTATAATATCTAATTTTGCATTTGCAAAATTGATTTTAAATTAATTTATTATAAATCATTATTTATTTTTACTTGCTTGGAATGATACAAATTTTTACGAAATGGAACGTTCGTCCTTCTAAAGATTTATTTAATTGACGCGCCATCATTGCGAGGGAGAGTCAACGATGATCGCACCATCTACATTCGTTTCCCTTCACTTCGATACTTTAGTAAGAATCCTTTGAGCCCTGTGAGTCATCGATAAATTCTTCGCATCGCGTAGAAAACTCGATCCTTTCTGGACCAAGATCAAACAGGTTTCTATCACTTTTTACGTCTTGTGAATCGTGTGATTATTGATCATAAAGTTGGACTTTATCTATTGTTCGAATAATGAATAATAAACGAAGAAAAAAAAAATTGAAAAATTTGTTCGTGAATAAATAACAATTTTGTTTCAAGGGAAATTACTCGGTATTTACGATGATTAACTAGAGAAATTTTTACTTAAGATGTAAATTAAAGTAATTGGTAACATTAGATATAATGCAGAGGTAATTACATTTGATCCGAACATAACCTAGATTTTATCTATTCAATGTGATTACATTAGACGAAAATAAAAAATCGAGTGATGATTTCGGATTGTTAGTGCTTCAAGCTTTATAATTTATTCATTGCAGGTTTGCTTTATTTTTTTTCAGCGGGTTATTTCATTTTTGGTAAAAATAAATTATTTTTTGTCAGGGAACAGAATTAACTTAGCCAAAATCGATTCGTCTAGACTAAATTTTAACTTGGTGGTTATATGGAATGTTACCTTCAACAATTAGTATCTTAAAAATAAGTAAAAGAATTTTAATTTAAAAACACGATAATTAAAATTTCAATATTAAAAGAATATACATCTGAAAAAAATAGTACAAGGTTGAAATATTATCGTTTGTATTAACATTAGATTCAAACCTAACCTATAACTTTTCATTAATTACAATTTTAAGAATCGTACAATATACATCAAAAAGGCAGTACACAAATGATAAGTATAATATAGTATTTGAATATTGAATTCAATTTCTTGATAAAAATTTTATTTGAAAAAAAGAAAAAAATAACAATTGATATATGCTATCATTTGCATTCATATTCAGATTCAATTTTTAAAAAATTGATTCTTTCAAAAAAGAAGACTTCTATATATTCAATAATTCTATAAAACTCAATAAAACTAAGTATATGTATATAAATATATTTTATTCTAATGTTAATATTTTAAAAATGATTCGACAGAAAGAGAAGACAATTCCAACACGATTATTGAACTTGCTAAATAATCAACCATAGAGCACACGTGCCATGTGTTGCGATCTCGATTAGGCCACACAAGCGAAACGATAGAATTGAGCGTAACGAACCATAGCAGACACTCGATTACCCTTCGTTCTTGACTTTGAGAACAGTGGCACGACAATGATCGAGACACGAGTTAGAATGGAGAGTCGACCGGTTTTGGTTTTACTTCCACTTATATTCTTCCATTCTAATTTTGTCAGAAATTTTTATTCATTCCAAGAGAATGATACCTGATATTTGTTTTCAGGTTTCGATTACAAACCGTTACAATATGTTTATTCCAGTCTCGATCAAAGCAAAATTTTATTGTCATCGTATGATGTCACGAAGGGCTGACGTAAGACGCAAAACAGTCTTTGCAAATCGTGCCACTGCGACAGTATAAATAATAATATTTTTTTGGATCAAGACCTCTTTTAACTTTTCTTAATAGATCATTGACCACTCACGACTTGCGAATGCATCCATTTATGCGATTATTAAAATACAAGAAACAAAGGATGATAATTCCACGTAAGAGAGAAAGATATTAGAAATATGTATGTATATGTACAGAATGAGTTGCAAAACGTCAATTTAAATTATTAGTTGAAAAATTTATAAATACAAATAGGAATTTTAAGTTTATCTTGGATCTTTTGTAAATAGACCTGTAATTTTTTATACAACCATTTTATACATCAATTTTTTATACAATTTTATGATCCAGAATTCAATCTGTGACCAAAAAATTTAAGAATTCAAAAATTAGATTAGAAAAAATTCTTGCATGAAAGAAAATATAAATAAAATTTATTACAAATAATATATAATTTTTTTTCAATCATTAATAAAATTAATAGATCTTAAAGATTCCAAATTGATCTAATTTTTTTTTATAGCAAACAAGATATTCCAATCTCTCTCTCTCTCTCTCTCTCTCTCTCTCTCTCTCTCTCTCTCTCTCTCTCTCTTCCTCTCTCTCTCTTCCTCTCCATAATAATTCATAAAGAGAGTATCTAAGAGATAAAACATTCCCGTTCAATTAATTTCTACACAGAATTCCTTGACACGGAGGAGGAGAGGGGAAGGGCTTACATTTTCATCGTAATCAATCGCTGATGAGCTCGCCGTCAGTAATGACGGCCGACGTGTGCGGAAGTGTTGGATGGAAAATGTTTGGATAATCGCCGCTTAATTGGAAACACGATAACCTTCGAGATATTAGGTTCGTTTGCGGGATCTGGGCCCCGAATCAGGGAGAAGGTCTAACGGGTAGTAAATTACTCATTGGCCGCGAACCTTCGTTTTCGACCAGGTATGTTACTTTCTATTTTTACACCGTGTGTTATAACACCGACGTTTACGTAAATCGAACACGGGAGGAGGGAGGAGGGGGGAGCGGAAAGGGGAAGGGAAAGGAAGGGAGAGGGATTTGGCGAGGACGATTAAAATTCGAGAAAGACGAGAAATAGCGTGACTGATATAGGGATGGGATTTGGAACACCTCGAATCTGACAAATTTGATTCTTAAAAGCGATTCTAAAAATATTGGAAGTATTCGAAACTGTTGAGAGGGGAATTATTCTGTTTCACTTAAGACTATTTATTTTTCATTCTTCAGATTTGTGAAGTCTCACGGACGAAGTTGAACAATTCTCGAGAAAATAGGTAATGTTGGCGAAACAGAATAATTCTCAATAATTTGGAATCATTCGAAACAATCAAAGAGTTCGAATAGAAGAAATATATAGAAAAAATATGTAACGCGAATCTCGATCAAAGTTTAAAAAAAGAAAATGTTTAAATTTCGAATCAAAGTCGAAGATTTTATTCGAATTTTCCGCCATTATTTTTTTTTTTTTTAAGGGGATTCGAAAAATCGCAAATCCTTAAGAATGAGCACTCTCGTTAGAACGAAGGGGACACGCGTTCATTCGAGACGATGTATAATGCCAGGGTCACGCGTGGTCGTTTCCTATGGAACGTTATCATCGCGCATCCGTTCCTTTATGCCAGTCAACACACGCGTTCCTATTTGCGAAATTTCAATGGTAAACGATTCGAATATGTTCGAAAGCAGAACAAAGAAAATCTTTTATAATGGGAGGAATGTAAATTATATATTTTAACATTTTAACATATTTTAACTTTGCTTTCAATTTTTTTTTTTTAAATTTTTCATTCATTATTTTTTAAATGGTTTTGACGAAGAGACGGATAAATAGATGGATATAGAATCTAGGAATAATATCAGTTGGACAAGTATTTAAAATTTGATATTTTTAGCTAATACTATATGATTTAGGTTAGGTTATTGGCATCACGCAGTAATATTCGATGAAAAAGCGAAATATGAGGGCTTTAACTATATATGTAGGAATATAATATCGATTCGAAAGTTATATGTACTTGAAATTTAATACTCTTAACGTATTTTGCGTGCCTTTGGTTAAAATAGGTTAGGTTTCATTAAATCTAGGAATATATCGATTCGAAAGTTATACGCTTTTGATCGAGACAGAGTTAGGTTAGGTTAGGTTAAGTTACTGGCAAAAAAAAAAAAAATAGCTTCCACGAGCCATAACGAATTCATGAGATAAATTTAGATACGAAATCAATCTAAATTCATTTTCTAATATAGGTTAGAACTGGTCTAAATCTATCGAAAGGAGCAAGGTTTCAAGGAAATAAATAGACCTCACCCTATCCACCCTGAGCACAGAGCACCCGATTCATCCCAATGTAAATTTCGCAAAGTTCTCCTCGTCCAACTAATCTCCACTAACACTCAGCCCATTTCCTTCCTGCGATTCGTCGAGTGTAACCCACTTTTTCTCGCCTTCGATCGCGCGACTTATCTGCGTCCGTGTTAGACAAGATAATCGGACAACGGAATAAAAAAAATCCCTCTGCTTCCTCCAAAATAGACGGATACCGTGTGAACAATGAGGGAAAGAAGAGGGGGACGAGTAAGACTAGGCGAGTTCTCTTTTTCTCTTCTTCTTCTTCTTTTTTTTTCTTTTTTTCTTCAACATCCGTAAATGGACAAATTATGCATCGACGAGATGATGAAACGAGCCTTCGACTCGCTTTCTCTACGGCAAGCAAATCGATGTCGCGCCGCTGTGAGGCCAATTGCATAACCTTAAAATGATGGAACGATTTCCTATTATGGGATCGAAAAGGAACCGGATCGAATTTGACAAAATTTGATTAGTATGATGTTCTCTTGGGCAATTATCCGATATATTAGGGTTTTCCAAAACTTTTAAAACTCTTTTTTCTTATTGTTCTTATTTTTCAAGATACATTGAAATTGGAGTGATACATAATAAATGAAGAATCAGTTTTAATTTATTTTTCTCGTCGAAGATAAAAGGAATAGAGTCGATGATATAACGAAGGAGTTCGTCATTTTATGGTATTTTTATTTTAAAAAATATATATATGTATTGACAGCAAAACCATCTCTTTATCTAACCGCAATCGAGCGAAGTATCTCTTTACAATTCAACTTGAACCTAATTATGCGAACACACAAGTCTGAAATACTATATGGAAACGTTTACGAGCAGAGATCGTAGAAATATTGGGTGGTAAAGTGGTTACCTATACTTTTCTAGGAATTTTTGCGCCAATTCGACCCGCGAAAATTTGAAAAATTTAAATTTCCAAATATCGAATTTACTTCAAATTTGAAAGTTTTTCAAATTTTCAGGAACTTTTCTGCGAATTTATAAAAGTATTAAGAAAGTAAAAAAAATTCACGGTTCAAGTTTTCGAATATGAATATATATGAAGTTTTTCTCAAAGTAAAGAAAGAAAAAGACGTAGCACTGTCAGTTAATCAGACTTCAAATTTTCTAGGGACATTCGACTGGTGGAAATTACAAAATTCTCGAATTCATCGAATATCGAATTTACGTTTTTCAAGATGAACGGTGAGTTATAAATGGAGGCATTATCGTGGTGGATAACGATTTTATTGAATTATAATCGAATATTAATATCTCCGCAAAGATGAGCAACCTGTTAATCGTTATTTTTTCACGAAACCGAGGAAGTTTCTTTAAGTTTGTTTAATTTCATCGACAATAAGGATATTTATATTCACGTATTTTATCTGATGTACTTGGAAAATCATCGTGAATTGTAAATTCTATCTTAAAAAAAAAAAAAAAAAAAAAAAAAAAAAAAAANAAAAAAAAATCTCCTTAATCGACACGTATCTGATGTATTTGGAAAATCATCATGACCTTTGTAAATTCTATTTTTTAAAAAAAAAAAAAAAGTAAAAAAAGAAAAAATTCTCGTTAATCGACACTGATGTACTTGGAAAATCATCATGACCTTTGTAAATTCTATCTTTTAAAAAAAAAAAAAAAAAAAAAGTAAAAAAAGAAAAAATTCTCGTTAATCGACACGTATTCGCTGCGCGCGATTGTAAATTCGAAATTCCATGAAATTTGTTGAAAAAATCCTCGTGACTTACGTATGTATAATAAAAAAAAAGCGTTAAAACAAACGTGGCGTCATCGCTCGATTATAAATGGATTGAGTAATAAGTCTCGATCGCGTTTATTTAAAAAAAGCATCAAAGGTTACTACATTTGCACCGAGTTTATCTAATCAACGATGCGTGTGCAAGTTGATGCATGCGAAATGTAATTTTTTTTTTCACCAAGTGAGAAAAAATCCTCCTTCTCCATCTAATCAAATTTTGAAAATATTTTACAAAAATATTTGTATATAGTAATTAGTAATTAATTATGTATAAAGAATAATTTCACACCAATATTATATTGATCTTATCTACTCTAATTAATCAAATCCAAATTTTTATATCCAAATTATTTTATATATTATATAATATCGTATATTAATTATTGTATTAATTATTTTAATTTTTTTCTTAATATTATCCAAGTGATATCGATAAAAATTATATATTACGGAATACACAAAGATATCAGATACACAACAATGGAATTCCTATAAGAAATGAATATCAATGATTACAGAACAGCGGATCGCTTATAATTAATCCAATCACGATTCTTCTCGTCATATAACATTCCGATCGTTACATTTTCATTTTCTTCAAAATTCCTAATAATTTTCATCGTATCGAGGTGGCGCATTTACATCAGGAAGTAAAATATTTCCTCTAAATATTTTTTTTTTTTTTTTCCATCAGATGGATCCCATTCACGGACCAACGATCTTTCCCGCAGCACAAAATCACCCGCCATCCTCTCCAATTCACGTTGCTCGAGAAATCTGATTAACCGGCAGTGCTACACGGTTGTAATTTTCAATAGCAAGAGAGAATTTCACGTATTACGTAAATCATACGTACCATATACATACGCTTTTTTTTTTTATTATTAATTTTTTTCTCTTCTCTTTTTTTTTTTTTTTTTTTTTTTTTTTTTTTTCAAGTAACGTTTCTCCTCGTCGAAAGACGAAGATCCGGTCCGGTCAAGCCTCGAAAAAGGGGTCACACGTCTCGACAAAACATGTTTCCTCGCGAGAGTGGAGATAAGCGAGTTGGCATTCGTCTCGAAATCGTCTCGTTTTTTCCTTTCTTTCTTTTTTTCGCGAAATAATCGACGAACCGAATTAATACCCTTCGTTGTCTCTTCCTCTCTGCAACGTTCGATCTCGTTCTCTGCAAATTCACGCTACCTCCAACTATTGGCATTTGTTAATTAATTAATTGTTAACGATTAATCGATTCGAAGCTGGCTTCATTTTCAAGTGTGAAGACAGAGAGTTGTCTTGTTTATATTTTATCGAACATATTTCAAATATTATTTTCTACTTCGAAATCTATTTCGAAAATTTCCACGAATCTGTCGATCCTTTTAAAATTATAAGTTCAATGGAATATATTTTACTTTGTTCCCTATAATATTTTCATCTTTAATTTGTAATCCAAAAAAATCACAGTTTCTCTCGTTCATCAAACTCTGTTATTCTCCTCGTGTACGCTACTTTTGTCAGCCGCACTGTCCTGAATAATAAAGAATAAAAGCATAAGTTTTTATATAAAAGTAGTATACAATAGGATTAAAATTATTCGTAAAAATTTATTATAAAAATTCGATAGACTCGACCGAAACAACAAGTATGCATATTTTATAATGATAATTTAAAGAATATATATACATACACGCCGTACATCCAATACACATATTGAAAACGTAGATCACTTGTTAAAAAATTCTCGATATCGAGATCATAATTTATCATCATAATATCCAAATTTGTAAAAAAAAAAAAAAAAAGAAAAAAAATCATTCGTCCTCGACG